ACACACACACACATACACATATAAAAAGAAGAAAGCCAAAAGATCGTGATCAAGATTGGAAAATTAGATTAAGTGGGAAATGAATAAAATGCTAAATGCCATCACATAGTAATTTGACATGTTTATAAATACATACAGGCAAAAATTCATTATAAGCACCTAAATAGTACAGAAATATAAAGAGTAAAAGTAAAAAACAAACAAAAACTTGCCAAATGCCCAGATATATAAGAAAAGCTAGTTAAAGAATTTCTGTGGGAGGTTGGCTGAGTTTATGATTCAAAGTGACTATTTAAAAAAAGAGTTTGGATTTGAGACTAAAGTCCTGCTTCATTGGGGCCAGATAGAGAGTCACAGAAACTTTACTGGATAAATGTTGTTGAATCTCTATCACTTGTAGTTAAATTATGGAATAGCAAATGTTGAGGCCTCAGTTGACAGACTGAACTAGGCCTTCATATTCTTAATCTATTTTGCATGCATCAGAGAAGCCCAGGAACTATTTCTAACCCAGTATTTCTTGCCCTCTCAATCCACTATAGAAGAAGGGCCCTAACCCTGAAGCGAATGAGGAAATATTGCTGTAAGGAAGTGTCTGGCTCCACAGTCAGGTTGGTTTGTCCAAAACTGACAGAGACTTTCTGGATTCCAAAAGTCCCATTGGTCTCTATCTCATAGATGACCTGAAATACAAAAGTAAAATCAATTAATAAAATTTATTCACTCATTTATTCATCCATTTAGAGAGTGCATGTGTGAGAGGGGAAGGGGTAGAGGAAGGAGAGGAAATCTCAAGCAGACTCCATACCCAGTGTGGAGCCTGATGTGGGGCTCAATCTCATGACCATGAGATCATGACCTGAGCCAAGAGTTGATCGCTTAACCAACTGAGCCAACCAGGTACCCCTAAAAATTATTTAATGGGCCAAGTATACAGAAGATTTTCTGTCTTTAAGAGTTTTATTATAACTAAATGAGTGTACAGCATAGTGAATACAGTTAACAGTAGTATATTTATATTTGAATGTTGCTGAGAGTAGATCTTAAGTTCTCATTGCAGGAAAAAAATGTGTAACTGTGGTAATGAATATCAACTAAACTCAACTGGTGATCATTTCACTATATATGTGTGTGTGTGTGTGTGTGTGTGTGTGTGTGTGTGTATGAAATTATCATGTGGTGTACTTAAATATATATATATATATATGAAATTACCACCTTGTGTACCTAAAACTAATACAATGTAATATGTCAATTATATCTCAACAAAAGGAATAACTGAACGAGGGAAACTAAACAATCTTAAAAATGCTAAACACAAATACCATGAAAAGATAAAGTAGACTTCATATTATATCTACACATGCAAAAAGATACTGGATCTTTGAAAGGGTTTTGAAAGGGTGTGAAAGGGTTTGAAAACTCTTTGACAGCGTTCATGGGAGAAGTGAGTTTATGGTAAGGATCGAAAGGGAAGAAAAATGAGTTCTGATTGTGTGCAGAGAAGATGAGTAGAGAGGGGAGCATGGAATGGACACCAGGTTTACTTGACTCTCCCAATGTCTGAGGATGAATGAAGATAGTAGCTGGAAATGGAAGTCATAAGCAATTGAAGGTAACCTTAGATTTCTGAGAAGACTTTATTTTTTATTTTTTTTTAAATTTTTTTTTTCAACGTTTATTTATTTTTGGGACAGAGAGAGACAGAGCATGAACGGGGGAGGGGCAGAGAGAGAGGGAGACACAGAATTGGAAACAGGCTCCAGGCTCTGAGCCATCAGCCCAGAGCCCGACGCGGGGCTCGAACTCACGGACCGCGAGATCATGACCTGGCTGAAGTCGGACGCTCAACCGACTGCGCCACCCAGGCGCCCCCTGAGAAGACTTTAAAATGATGCTTAAGACAATTCTTCCTTCTGTAGCTTGATTAAAAGGGAGAATAGAGGAAAAGAAGTGGACTCCTCTATTTCAGATTTTCAGATGATACTAGTTTTTTTCAGGAGAAGAAAATGTGGTATGAACTATAATAAACCGCCAATAGGTAAAGATAGAAAAGTCAGAAATAATCTTAGTCTTTTGGGTGTGAAATATGGGAGAAAGGCAGCAATGGAAACTGAAACATGGTAGGAGGAAGGTGATGGGCTCAGTTTTTGACATGTTAAGTTCCATGCACAAAAATTCCTGTGGGGTTGGTCTGGTACTTAATGGAAGATGAGGCACCTCTGGTAATGTTGATCAACAACCAACAAACAGTCCAGAATCTGAGATCAGTGTCCTTACCTGGGAAACCACATTCTGACAAATGTTTCCAGACAAGAGAGGAGAACCAGCCTGTGAGACAAGGGTTACAGGAACCTGGAACTAGCAAGGAGAAGAAGTAAATCAACTGAGATTGAAAGCAGTATTTTCTCTTCTAACTACATATTATATTGAAATGAGTATTTTTCATTTTTGATCACCACCTTCCTCTCTCCTTCCCATTGCCAGCCTACAACTTAAGATAAAAAAAAAATCATTTTAAATCAGCACTTCTCAAAACATATTTCTCAGGTCCTTAATTTTACTGGATATAAAATAAAGGTTCTATGGTCAAATAAATTTTAGGAATACTATATCTGGTATTCCCCTTAGAGAGTACCAGGGTCCTCTAGCACATTAAAGACTCCAAGAAGACCCCTCTAAATATAATGTTTAACTTTACTTAACCCAATGTTTCTGAAACTTATCTAACACCTTGTGAATTTTTATTTCATGTGATGCTTATTAATCATAAAGAACTTACATGGGAAAATGTTTTACGTCCACACCTAACAGTTTGATACATCACACACAGATTTCCTTTCACAACTACAATCTAGACTGAAACTGCCTCAGATGCAAATGGACCAAATAGTCTCCTTATTTTTTCCTGATAAACAACGTCATACCTTCGTATTCTGCAGATCAGTCATACCTCTTGGAACCTAGAATAAGAGAACAGCGAGAACCGTGAGTGTGCATAGACCTCAGAGAAAATTTCCAGGAGCTTGTGGTTTCACATGTGGGGAGGAAAAATTAACATATTAGAATGATTCTTCTCTTCCACCTGACTCTTCTTAATACTAAAATGCCATGAGTAAAGCTGAGGGGAGATTGGACTGTGACACGCCTGCTCTGAGCAGAGCTCTACAGAATGGCAAAAGCAAGAGGTTTTGGTGAAATAGTGAAACGATATCCCCTCCCACTGTCCAAGCCAATCCCATTAGCCAGGAGGGTAGAATCTCTTATCTTGGATGTATATCCTCAATACTTCCATCTGTCTTTAGGTGACAGGGTTTTTGGGCCCTCTGCCTTTTTTGTAGCTCTTAGGCATTCTGACTTTCAGTTCAGTGCTTTTCCCACAACCCAATGGTGGGAAGCATGTTGACTTGGAGGGTAGGGACACCACCTTTAAGACTGTGAAGTTATAATAAGAGGCAGCATTGAGGGCTGGATCCAAGGTGCAGCTATTTGTCAGGTTCTTGAAGAAACGAGCACAGGTTGTACTTTTACTCTCCAGGAAACCTTAGAACACAAAGAATTAAGGGAGTGATAAAAAAGAAAGTCTATTTTCTTTTTATTTAAAACAACTTTCTTTAGGGTTTTTTTTTTAAACGATTTCTAAGAAAGCCTATTTTTCATTTTTATTTTCTTTAATTTTTTTTTAATGTTTATTTATTTTTGAGAGAGAGAGAGAGAGAGAGAGAGAGAGAGAGACAGAGTGTGAGTGGGGTAGGGGCAGAGAGAGAGGGAGACACAGAATCCGAAGCAGGCTCCAGGCTCTGAGCTGTCAGCACAGAGCCCAAAGCGGGGCTCGAACCCACGAACCATGAGATCGTGACCTGAGTCGAAGCTGGATGCTTAGCTGACTAAGCCACTGAGGCACCCCCAAGAAAGCCTATTTTAAATTGAATAAAAAGGTTGGCACTTTTGTTTTGGACTCACCCGCAGGATTGCTCTCAGCACAGAGCCCCCCAGCACCAACTCCGGCAGGCTGCCTCAGCAAGCTGATTACAGACCACTTGGGGAAATATGTCAAAATGGGGTCCCCAGCCTGAATAAAGTACAGTAGAAATTTATCCACAGTGAGATTGGACAGAACTCTACCAGAAAAGAAAAAGTAGAAACAAAAATTAACTCAATGACTTGTTAATATGGACAATACTGCCTTCTAAAAGAGTTGACAATGGTTTAGCTAGTTGCAGCGGGGTACCTCAAAGATACCCTGTCAATTGTCAGCTATGAGGGAAAAACCACACCAAACAATCCCATCCCTATCCCCAGGCTCACCCTGTAAAAAGGTGGTGGCAACTGGGTTTGGAATGTTGAAGTGAATGATTCGCCTCCAAACTCTGTAGCCAAGGCCTGGAAGTTGGTTGCATTGACCTTTTGGAGCTTCTGGAAATAGTTTAATCTTGCTAGAATGTTTTTTTTTTTTTTTAATGAAAAGGGGTTTAGATAAAAGAAAAACATTTATTTTAAAATATCTGGCATGCCAAGTAACTACTTAAAAAAATATTATTGCGGCATAATATATACATAGCAAAGTATGCAAATGCACTCATCTTAAGTGTAAACTCAAAAGATTTTTTACATATTTATATACTTTTTTTTTTTTTTTAACATTTATTCATTTTTGAGACAGATAGAGCATGAACAGGGGAGGGGCAGAGAGAGAGGGAGACACAGAATCCGAAACAGGCTCCAGGCTCTGAGCTGTCAGCACAGAGCCCGACACGGGGCTCAAACTCACAGACCGCGAGATCATGACCTGAGCCGAAGTCGGACATCCAACCGACTGAGCCACCCAGGCGCCCCCATATTTATATACTTTTATTCCCACTACTCAGTGTAAGTTATAGAACATTTTCCCAGAAAACTCCCAGTCAATAACACTCCACTTTCAAAGAGAACAAGTGTGATTTTTATCGCCTTCTATTTTATGTGTAATCTGTTAAAGGAATTATTGTTTTACTCTTGACATCTAAGATAAGAATACAGCCAATGAATACCAGTCAGTTCCATGTCCTTAATGCCAGGAATGTGAGTGATTAGCAGACTGCGATGAAGACAGGAGGTTCAATAATGTTCACATTTGCCCCATACCAGATGAGACTCTAGTACAACAAAAAGGTACTGTTTCCGTCAGAACATGGCAAAGCTAGAGACAACATTCAATTTGTCCTCTCCTTCCTGTTTCTTCTTCTTTTTTTTAATGTTTATTTATTGTTGAGACAGAGAGACAGAGCATGAGTGGAAGAGGGGTAGAGAGAGGGAGACACAGAATCTGATGCAGACTCCAGGCTCTGAGCTGTCAGCACAGAGCCCGACGCGGGCCTCGAACCCACGGACTGAGAGATCATGACCTGAGCCGAAGTCAGAGGCTCAACCGACTGAGGCGCCCCAGCGCCCCATCCTTCCTGTTTCTTCTAAACCTCAACTGACCAGTCCTGATAATAATGTTTCCACCTCTCAAGTAATTGGCTTTATGTTTCCCTCCTTTCACTTCATAATGTCTACATTTAAAATTTCAGGGGTGCCTGGGTGGCGCAGTCGGTTAAGCGTCCGACTTCAACCAGGTCACGATCTCGCGGTCCGTGAGTTTGAGCCCCGCGTCAGGCTCTGGGCTGATGGCTCAGAGCCTGGAGCATGTTTCCGATTCTGTGTCTCCCTCTCTCTCTGCCCCTCCCCCGTTCATGCTCTGTCTCTCTCTGTCCCAAAAATAAATAAACGTTGAAAAAAAAATTTTTTTTTTAAAAATAAAATTTCAGACACTCCAAAGTGGT